AATGTAAGGGGGAAATTATAAACAAAATTTAGAATTGAAGGAAATTTTGGAGGCAAAAAAAATTTAGAGCTAAAGAAAATTCTTCTTCTAAAATTTTTTAGTAAATTTTTATTAAATATAAAAGCAGCTACATTGTTCATGGAAATTAACTGTGACTAACGATTAGTTACAGGAAACGGGAAGTGAAAATAGATAAATTAATTCACACATGACTAAAATTGTAGAACGAATTACATGAATTTTTTCTGTGACTATTAGTGTACATTTTATCACGAGAAAAAATCATGTGATTAGAAACTAGTTTTCCATTGTTTGTCGTGCTTTTGTGCTTATTTTCTGCATTCACTTTCTTATTTTGTCTACTATATAAATGTGTTTGCGCTTCTTTTGTTTGCCGCCCTTTTATGCCTATTTCAGCATTCTCCATTTCTAACGGAGACGAAGATCATGGGTCACACCAGGTCGTAAGGATTGCCTTTCTAATCGTTTTTAAATTCTCTTCTATTGTAAACGTTTTTGGGTTCATCTCTTTTTATTTGTAAGCTTTTCGCCTCGTATTACTTATGATAGTTATTCCTTTGGTAATTGAGATTAGGGATAATAGCTATCATAACCTTAGATGGATGTTGAGAATGAAACAAGACTCATGAGTAGCATTACTGGATCTTCTTCTAGAGTTGGATTTTATCGCATATTCTCTTTCTTTTTTTGTCGTTGCTGCTTTCTTGGTAATGAGAGAATTATTATATGTAATGGAATTGTCATATGTTTTTCCCTCATATATAATACCTTTGTTGTGGGTTGTTGATAACACCTAAATTGGTGTTATTTACCCTTCATATTAAGGTTTGTTTCATACTAATTCATGTGTATAATTGTTTGAACAGTGTCAATTGAATCCCTATTTTTCCTATTTGATTTTAATGTGATTTTAGGGTAGTTTAGACAATACATGAAAATTATGTACTGAAACGCTAAAACACAACACCAAACTGCGACCAAGTATAATCGCAGTCCGGAAATGCAATAACAGGCAAGCTCTATTTGTCAACCCGAGGTCTAGATCTACTGCATACTCCGTGAATATCTATTATCTAGCAAACTAAGTCGCGTGATTGTGAGTTTAACTAAAAGTAGTAAGAAAGCAGGAAATGGTTCGGTTTTCTAAATCAAGGGAAGAGTCAGTCGGGAATGAGTCTCCCTGGATCCTTAGTTAGGTCACAGTTGTAATTACCCAGGGTTGATTAACTGATGATGAAACGCGGAAGATCCGACAGTAGCTTGGAATCTCTTAAGCTGACCAAGCCCTCTCAGTCCAACTACCCGACAGACGACTAATCTTCACCGGGATAGAAAGCTGAGGCTATGAACGCAGAACTTCACTACTGTAATTGGATTCCGGTACAAAGCAGTAAATCGATTAACTCTCGTATAACCAATCTACCACTAGCGATTGATGAAGCTCTAACAACCTAATCAGATTCTATATATCTCAGGTTGCAACAGAAATCAAGAAAAGATGATCAGACTTTAATTGACTCAATGAATCATGCATCAATCGATTAAAATCAAACAGTATAACAATCCCAAGTTATTACAATCAAGATCCCTAACATATGGAACTAGGGTTCTTCATACCCAAGTGAGAGAAAGTTCTGCTCCATAGAGAGGGAGAGGAAAACAGAAATCAGAGTAGTCATACTCATAAAGATGAGGAAAATCTGCTCTGGGATGTCAATCTTCACTCTTGGGGATGCAATCTGGGCTTCAATGGTGAGAAATCTACTCCAAATAGCTCCTAGGGTTTGTTCTTCGCACTTTCTCTCTCTAAAACTCTGTTTTTGCTCCAAAAAGTCGACTCCCTCTCCTTTGGCCCGAACCTGCCTAAAAAACCTAATCCCTGATGGTCGAGGGCATGACCGTGTTTTGCTTTTGCCTTTCCGTGCCCTCGCCACGTGTTAAAAACATGACCTCGTCGGACAAAACACGGTCGTGCCTAAAGAATCACCTCCGCCCGTGTTTTAGACATCTTAGGAGCTCCCTTCAATCAAGCCTCGGTATAAATAACACGGCCTGGGACGCGACCGTGTTCTTCTTTAGGCCAGCCTGTGTTTTACTTTTCCATCAGTTCACCTCTCGCACATAAAACACTGGCGTGCTCGTTTGTGTACACGGTCGTATTCTTCAGGCCTCCTTCCCGTGTTTTGCCCCCAGCTCGACCGAATGACCTCCAATTTCCCCGAATCTCGTGCTTAGCCTTTCCTTCGACGTCTGGGATCTGAAATATGACAAAGTAGCACAACCCAGCGTAAAACGGGCCAAAAACACACGACTACGAGCTGCAAACGGATAAGAACTAAGGGTGAAAACATGTGCAAATACATCGTTATCAAGTACAAAATAAGGTCACAAGTGTAGCAAATGGGGGAGAAGACTGAAGATCGTAGTGTGCAGCTAGAGATCACGTTCGACAACCATGCGTACAAAGTCAAGCCAAAGATTGCGACCGGGAAGCCCAAGATCACGGTCGCGATCTAGAGGGCTCAAGGCGCGAACTTCGTGAGGAAGAAGCCTAGGAGAAACAGAGAGTTTCCCCAGGTAGGACACGGCCGAAGTACAAACTAGCTGCAACTCGTGGATCGCGACCTCAAAGTCAGCCCGCGATCTCCTCATCCCCAAAGGCAAAAATGGAAGCGTTTCGAGATCGCGGCCTCCAAGTGAGCTGATTTTCTTCGTCCTCTTGTGCTGTTAAATAGAAGAACCCTTTTCCCCCATTCAAGTAAGCTGATTTTGAGATAGAATTTTGGATTTTAGAGAGAGAGAGAGAGAGAGAGAGAAGATGAAGGAAGGAGAAGAAGAGAAGAAGGAGAAGGAGCTAGAAGAAGAGGAGCCATCTTCCTCCACATTAAGTCTTCTTCCACCTCTTCTATGTATCTTCTTCCCTCCTTTATGGAGTAGTCCTCTAAGGTATTAGGGGTTCTAAACCCCAAACCCTTGTTTTAGGGTTACTATTTATGTATGGATATTTTAGGGTTTTAATGAATGAATATGTTTATCTAGTTGATTTCCATGCTATTCTATATTTCATTGTGTTTGGGTGACTCGCCCTAATCTTCTCTATCAGCCTACTTTAGCTTCTACGTTGGGTATGGAGTTTTAGGGTTAGAGGGGTATGCGCCATCAAGCAAATTGAGGTTAGCAGTATGAATAGGATCCAATGGTGGTCGAGGAGACCAAACCCCTGCCATAGGAATGCCTTCCTAGATAGAACCCATGATGAAACCTCGGTGTGGACGGGAGGTAATACCCATTGAAAGGAGCTACGTTCTTAATGCCTCAAATACGATAGCCTAGATCGAGGTGAATTTATATGGGTTTAGGGGAGGTATACTCGGAGTCGTGTGGATAACCACGAAAGCCCATGGAAAATAGTTCACTCACGACATTCGACAAACCCTAAGTATCCAGAAATTGCATAGTAGTCCTAAGCTAGGGTGAGGGGTAGTTCCTCAAAGTAATTGCTTTTATCTTTATTTGCTCTCTTAACTAGTAGTTCACTCATATCCTCCAAAATAAATCCTTAAACCCATTGGCTAGATAACAACAACGTGGGAAATAGGCTAGAGTATCAGGACCCGAGTGAATACGACCTTGATTGTCACTATACGACAATGCCATTTTAGGTTAAACTTGGCCTAGAATGGGGTAGTTGTTGAAATGTGCTAACCATTGACAATAATCTGTACAAATGAAATCGATCAAGCTTTTTGGCTCCGTTGTCGAGGAACATTGATGACTAGTAGAAAACCATTGAGTTGTTAGTTTAGTCTTTATTTTGTTCCGTTTAGTCTTTTGTTTTGTTGTGTTGTCATTTTGAGTTTTTGTTACTTTCATAATTTGTTTTGTTTTCTGTTTTGTTGTCTAATTTTGTGCGTCACGAGTTGTTGAGTTTGTGTCTTGTAGCACCTTTGTATGCCAAGAAGGGATACTTTGGAGATATTACCTCTTGATACGGAAATCAAGAGAACCCTTCGGAACATAAGAAGAGTTGCGGGACATCAATCTCCACCAATGAATGATCAACAACAAGAACCTCAAGTTCCACCAAGGCCTAGAACAATGGGTTCTTACTCAAGGCCAAGCGTGGATAATGTTCAATCACCTATTCTTCACCCAACGGTGCCGAACAACAACTGTGAGATAAAGCCAAGCACAATTTCGATGTTTCAAAGTGCACTTTAATTCAATGGGATGATGAGTGAAGATGGAGAGTAAGTTGGGAGGCGACATGCCTTGCCCCGAGAACGTGGCGGATCCACACTCGGGGGCATCACTTTTAAAGGCGTGATGGATTTGCAACGTCAAGCTAGTGACGTTAACTTAGCTCTTGTTGGGTGGCAACCCAACGTATGTTTATTTTCTTTTCCTTATTTTTCGTTTTTTGTGTCTAGTGAAGAGTTCAAGTGGTTGAGTGGTATCCCTGTGCCAGGTTTTTGTGATTGTGTGTTTTGAGTTGTGTCGTGAATGCTAGTAGGCATGGCAGAGTGGTCGAGTAAACCTTTTTAGAAGTGCCCTGTTTTCACTGTTGTTCACAGACGGATTGCCATATTCATGGTCTTATAAAACCGCTCGGGCCCCGAAGTCCGCTATTATTTTTTTTAATTATTAATAATTATTATTATTATAATAGTTATTATTATTATTATTCCGCGGTTGAAATCCTTAGTACGTAACCGTTAATCCAACTGTTTACGTATTATGGTCGAACCTGAACCCAAAGGTCGGGGTGTAACATTGGGTTAACGGTTACGTACGAAGGGTTGCAACCACGGATTATGAATAATAATAATAATAATAATAATAATAACTACTATATTATTATTATTATTATTAAAAAGGAAAAAAAAACAGAAAAGTAATTCCATCGCGGATGGAGCTAGGGTTTGTCTTTCTCCTGGAAACAATTCACGACATTACACATTGTTCTCAATTCATATTCATCTCATTCTGCAAGGCTTTAGGGTTTTAGGTTCACAAAAATCTTTTGCCAGCATGCTCGTTTGGAAGCCTGAAGCAAGCGATGCCTCCACCAATCCTGAAGCGCGGAGCGGCAACATCTGGATCTAAGAAGGGCGGTAGAGCCACGCGAGGGACCAACAAGACCCAGAATCATCAGCCCGAAGCTGTCGAAGAGTTCCCAAAGATAGAGGAAGGAACAATCATCGATGAAAATCCTGTTCTCCAGGAGAAGTTGGACGTTGACGACAAACCATACGTTGAACGAAAGTCGGTTCTTGAAGCTGATGAGGGATCCAAATCGAACCTTAAGAGCTCGTCATCGTTGAAAAGCTAAACAGCTCTACCGCAGACAGAGTGAAAGACAATTCGTTGCCAAACAGCCTTTCGTGGAGTCTGTTATCACTTTTCTCAATCCTCCGGAAGTCTCTCGTTTCTCTGGTTAGTGACTGCCCAAGGGTTCTGGATTTGCAGTTTTTGAAGAAATGGGAAGTGGGGTTTTCGAACTGTGAGGAAGTAGCCATTTTTAACCCTTCGGTGATCAAAACTGTTTTGGAGCTTTCGAGGAGTTTAGCAAGTTAGAGAAAGATGCAAAGGATGCTTTTAAGGCATACAACAAGTAGAATAGTAGTGTGAGGTTTCAGGGTAAAGCAAGAAGTAGCAAGGAGATGACCATTCAGTTGATGGCTAAAAAGAGGATACGAAGAATCTTGGAAGAAAGTAAGAGATTCAAAGTCATAAGGTACAAGGACCTAGGTGATATATGTGGTCAACCACAGATGAGGTTACGTTAAAAGAGTTTTGCGATAAATAAGATGGAGGTTAAGCCTCTATTAGTAACCTTGGGGTTGAAAGGGGTACTAAGAACATTAATAGGGATGTGTAGGGGATTTTCTCATGCTAAAGGTACCATATATGGTGAATCATGCATCAAGAGTGCGTAATAAGTGGAATTATCAAAGAGGAGAATAACAAGGCCTATAAAGGGAGAAGAAGCGATACCTAGGAACCAGCATCAGAGGCATTTAAGAAGGGAGAGTGCCATAGACGCATTGAGCAAGTAACTAGCTTGAGCAAGAGAATTATGAAAAGTGGGTGAGTAATTAGTTGTCCAAGAACCACATGAATTGGAGGAAAGGGTGCATAGCTCAAGGTCGTATCATGTAAAGGAAGTATACATCCCAGTAGTTGAAGGATTTGCTCAAGTGAGACCTTAGGTTGTCGCGATGAACAAATTTTGAGGTCAAAATTTTTCGCAAGGAGGTGGGAAATGTGATATCTCGATTTTGGATTTAGGTTCAACAACAACTACAAGGTGAATTTGATCAACATGTCCAGCCAAATCGACATTTTGTTAAGGGCAGTGAGTCACTCAAGGTTACACGAGTGCTACCAACTAAGGAAATACAAATGATCAAAGGTTACCAACGAAGTTATTAGAGTAAGAGAAAATGATCGTGGGAAGGAAGTATACTAAGGGTGATGACAAAGGATGATTCCGAGCAAATTTCGGGGATGAAATTTTGATAAGAGGGGAGGAAATGTAACACCCCGACTTTGGGTTTAGGTTCGACCAAAATACGGGAACGGTTAGGTTAACGATTACGTACGAAGGGTTGCAACCGCGGATTATGAATAATAATAATAATAATAACTACTATATTATTATTATTATTATTATTATTATTTAAAAAACAGAAAAGTAATTCCATCGCGGATGGAGCTAGGGTTTGTCTTTCTCCTGGAAACAATTCACGACATACACAAGGTTCTCAATTCATATTCATCTCATTTTGCAAGGCTTTAGGGTTTTAGGTTCACAAAAATCTATCGCCGGCAAGCTCGTTTGGAAGCCTGAGCAAGCGATGCCTCCACGAATCCTGAAGCGCGGAGCGGCGGCATCTGGATCTAAGAAGGGCGGTAAAGCCGCGCGAGGGACCAGCAAGACCTAGAATCATCAGCCCGAAGCTGTCGAAGAGGTCCCAAAGATAGAGGAAGGAACAATCATCGATGAAAAGCCTGTTCTCCAGAAGAAGCTGGAGGTTGACGACAAACTAGTCGTTGAACGAAAGTCGGTTCTTGAAGCTGATGAGGGATCCAAATCGAACCTTAAGAGCTCGTTATCGTTGAAAAGCTAAATAGCTCCACCGCAGACAGCGTGAAAGACCATTCGTTGCAAAACAGCCTTTCGTGGAGTCTGTTATCACTTTTCTCAATCCCCCGCAAGTCTCTCGTTTCTCTAGTTAGTGACTGCCAAGGGGTTCTGGATTTGCAGTTTTTGAAGAAATGTGAAGTGGGGTTTTCGAACTGTGGGGAAGTAGTCGTTTTTAACCCTTCGGTGATCAAAAATGTTTTGGAGCTTTCGAGAAAGTTTAGTCTTGACCCTGGTGGGTTTAAGAGCAGGTTAGAAGTTTTGAAGAGGTTAGGGTTTAGTGAAGGTACAATCAGTAGAACATTGGAGGGTTCCCCATAGGTGATTATGATGAAGGAAAGTGAAATACATAAAAGGGTTGAGTTTCTTTCGAGGATTGGGATTGGTAATGATGGGGTGGATTGGGTTCTATATTCATTTCCAGAGGTACTGGGTTTTGGAGTTGAGAACAGGCTAATGCCATTACTCAATGAGTTCGAACAACTGGGTTTCAACCAAGAACTAGTAAGGAAGGAGATTCTTGCGGTACCTCGAATTTTGGGGATGGAAGTAGGAGAACTATCGAGGTGTTGGGAATTACATCATGGAAATCCATGGATCGTGAGTGCATGGTGGACGTGAAGAGGAGAGGATTAATCAGGGAAAGGTCAATAGTGAGGGCATGGTGGAATGCTGGTGGGACGTTTGTCGTAGCTCTTGTAATGGTGGAGTTTTGGCCGAACAATCATGCAGCAATCAAGTTAAGGGAAATTGATCCCTGTGGCTAATTGAATCCAATCTGCTTCAGCATAAGGTGATTGTAAAGGGGGTAAATTCTACGCCTTACGTATTCTTTTAAGTATTATGATTTAAAGTATTTTAGCGAATTGGTTACCGTTGCTTGGTTATGTTTATGGTTGATTATTTGTGCTTGGCTTGAGCTATGATTTGAGGTGATTTTGTGCTATTTGAGGTGATATGAGGTGATTTTGTGCTATTTACCTTAAAGCGTTATGTTTGAGTTATTGTTAAAGTTTAAGAAACAAGTTCTTTTTAAGAAGTAACTCACCTTCAAGAAGGTGAAGTCGTTTTAAGTGTTTTTAGTCACTAGCGCCTGTCCGTTGCCATTTGAGATTTTCAGATAGAGCAGCAGTTATGCTCTTGAGATCTTTGAGACAGAGCATCAGTTATGCTCTTGAGACTTTTAAGATGAGCAGTAGTTATGCTCTTGAGAATCGTGGTGAAGAGCCACCACGATAAGTTTAAGATGTTAGGGGGATGAATCGTTACGACTCCCCCTAACTAAGTTTAAGTTTAAGGAAAGCCTTGATGGCTTCTCATACTTATTAGTTGGCAACTGGACTAGCTAGTGATGGATCCCCGTGTAAGTCAAGAATTTAAGTGGAGATTTGAGTTTTAAGAGTACAGTTTCAAGAGTCAAGATTTTTAATAGTGGAGGTACAAAACAACTTCAACTAAGTTAAGTAAAGTAATCAAGTATTAATAAGATGTTAAACGTAAGGGCGTAGACTGACCCCATCTCACTCACAAGTTTGAAGAGCTAGAGGAGCATTTAATGAGCAGCAAATTCGAGGGCAGGCAGCTAGAGGAGGGCAGTATAAGCGTCACAGAGGATGCCTGGTCATGGTTTCAGTAGCAACAACACTAGAGATTATTAGTTATTTACATTTATGATTATGAGTATAGACTGGAGATCAGATTGAGATTTTAAAGTTTGAGTTTAATTTGCCCACGTGTTAGGGCTTTGCTTTGAGCTACAAGTGTGTGTTTTCGGTATTTTATTTATGAAAATTTTTCTCGCTGAAATTTAAGACTTGAGTATTCTATTTATCAAGGGAATTTTAGTAAAAGTAGTACCCAACCGGGTTTGGGTGTTTCATATATGACGATGACGGAGCGGCAGTGTACCGTCGACTTCCACTACCAGGCCGCATTCCATGCCCTCTACTGCTCCGAGCACGAGCAGGACGACTTCGAGCTGGCCGCTACAATGCGGTTAAGCTGAGGACCCCTTGGATGATCATGCACACGGTGCTCACCTGATCCGTCGTCCCCAACTCACAGTCGGGCCACTTGATCACGAACAGAGGGCTTCTTGCTTTCATTACCATGAGGTATCCAACAAATCCGATCCACCTAGGATCTCTCATCGCCACCTCTTTTTCCCGGCGTTTGGGGAGGAACAGGGTGGACACTAGGCGCATGGGGGGCATCATCACCAGGATGGCCTGGCACTTTCAGGTTAATCTGGAGCGGTGCTCCATCGTTCGCCGGACAGAGCCCTTCTTAGTGGCAACTGTTTACAACCAGAAGTTAGGTGCTTCAGGGAGAGCGGGGATAGAGTACCTTGAGGGACTCTGAACCTCAGGAGTCAAGAGGCCAGAGCAGCCACCTGCTCGAGCTCCCGACTGTGGCTGGCATCCCGTGCTACAACGCCCTGCACCACCACCACCGCCAGCACTATCTGGTGCCAGTCCTTCCACTTCCGTGGTACCCCTTGTGGAGAGGATGGATCGTCTAGTGACCAACGTCTTGGGCGTCACTTCCCGGCTTGCTCGAACATATCGTCACTTCCCTGATCGCTCATCGCCAAGCCTCATTATAGATGATAAGCCAGGGCCTTCGACCAAGTGAGAGGTAGCCGACGAGTGAGACATGTGGCAGAGCCAATTTCTTTCGCCCCATTCACCACTTGGAACTCTGAACTCTGTTGTTTCGTATGCTTGTGTGAGTGTGTTTGATGATTGGAGCCGTGATGTATACCCAAATTTGAAAATTTTGAGGGCTCCAAGCAATGTTTTCATGATCAAAGTGACCGGTTTGTAGGAGAATCTTGTGTTTATTGGCATTGACCTTGAATTGTTGCATGTGATCGAGTGTGTCCTATGATGATGACTGAGAGGTGCATTAGGATTGTGCAAAATTTTAGTTCTCATGTGTGCAAAAATGAATGGATGTCTTGACTCGATTTTTTTTTAGATTACTTGTTGATTACAATTTACATGCATTGTGTTTTGTGACATTGGAATGATTGATTGGGTGACTAGGTAGCCATGTGAGTTTTGAGCCGATCTTTTTCTTCTTGTGTGCTTAGGTCCCTCTTACCATGGCGAGTAACATCACAGTTGTCTCTAGTGAGTATGATTGAGGCATAGGATTAGTCCACGCCTAAATGTTGATTTTCCCGAAATATTTTATCCCCTGGTCAACCCTTTTGAGCCTTGTGACTTTGGGGGTTATTCTCGTGTTGGAGCTTTTTGCTTGTGAGCTTAATGATATTTGATAGAGCGACACCCCATCCTTTCTTCGTGTCTATACTTGAGTCGCCCTTGTGTCCCGGAGCTCTCG